TCGCACTTGCAACCACTCGGCCAACGAGGCAGGCATCTTCACTGGACCTATATTCGCAATAAACGATTTGAACTTGAAACTTTCGCATTTAATAATATTAATAAGATGATGTTTAATTACACAGAATAGCACAGCAGAACCGCTTATGATAAAATTTAATGATTTCTGCGTATTAGACAAATATGGCTCCTGCAGCCTCGTCACTGGGTTAGTCCGGAATGTCTTCGCTTGCGCCTCAAATTCTGGGCGAGGATACTCGTCCTGAAATACAATAAATAATAAGTAAAAGTCAAAATTTCCCGGGTCGGACAACGTACTACTGGGTTTTTAAAAAAATCTCAGTAGTAGCACGGAGTCTTGAATTGTGCCCGGTATATGGCAATAAGCTCACCCCCTATTACATGGGACTCATAACATAAATAGTGAAAAGAAGATGTTACATTGTACAGTGTCATAATGTACACCTTTGCCTACCCCTTTGGGGATAAAAGGCGTGATGTCATGTTATGTAAAAGTCAAAGTCAAAATTTATTTCAATTAGACCAGGAAGGCCATTTTGAACGTCAATGAGGACAAGGTGTGGTTTTAAGAGGAGAAAATCATCAAATAACTCCTCGGCTCGACTTCAGGGCTCGTACACAAAACTGCGATGCGAAGTCGCAACGCAAAAAAATAAAAAAATTACGATGCGAATTGCTGCGATAAGGCGTCTTCAGGTTCAGGCGTCCCAGGGCGACCATTCCTTCGACGACCGTCTTTTTTTCTTTTCTTAAGGGGGAAAATCGTCGAATGTCTGCTCCCGCCTGGGTGAGGCGGGAGGGAGTATCAGACTCTTACTAACTAAAAACTATCCCGTTCCTTCTCCTGCACTTCGAGACGGAGCTTCAGTAACCCGTTAGGTTCTCTGTGACTCGACGACCATCAACCGTACTAAACGTATTTTAAATTGAAAACTAGGTCGTGACATGGATCGTAAAAAGAAGTGTGCACTTCTGTTATTGCTTAGGAGATACAGGAAAAAGAAACAAAAGCATTCCAAATGCGTCACTGGTCTCTTAAATGGGGTTGGGTCTAATCGCTCTGAGACGGTGAAATACAACTTAAACTAGCTAGGTTCCTAAAAGACATATCCAAAAGGTGTTAAATACCTGGTCAACGCCATCCAAATCCCACTCCCACCGCAACACCGACTGCTTTCGTTTCCAAAGCTCAAGGAATGATGTCGCTGAAAAATACGAGAACATTAAACATGATTTTTGAAAACCCCGTTGTTTCAATTTATTACAAAGATATTTTTATTGGATAGGCCGGTAAACGAGCAGACGGACCACCTGATGGTAAGCAATCGGCGCTGCCCATGGACACCTGGATACAAATGCGTTACCGACCTTTTGGGAATTGAGAATTTGAGAATTGTGGGTACTTCGGAGCGATAATTGAACTTCACTCACACGATGAGAAGTAGAACTAATTCTGTCGCATGGTGCGTCACATCAAGAAAAGCTATAGGCTACAAAAATATTACGCTACATATTGGGACATGGCAGTAGCAGGCGCTCTTTTGGGTGGGAAGGGCTCGCTGTAAGCGTGAATTGTCATGCAAGCGTGACATTAATGTATATATATTTGTATGTTTAATAATGTAAGTATATGTCATGGGTGGCCAACCGGTCGATCGCGATTATAATTCCAGGCGATCTTGGCAATTAAAAAAAATAAAATACGTACATAGAAGACATTGCACAATGATATTATCAACTGCAATAATATTACCAAGAATAATTCGTAGTTTTATATTTTCCCTCATAATTAAATAAAAGTACTACATAATTGTGTACGAATTATGCTATTTCATTTCAGATTTTAAGCAATAATGTAATTGGTAGATCGTACTAGGTGTCGTCAGGGAAAAATCGATCTGGGGTCTAAACAAGTTGGCCATCCCTGGCATATATTATAATGTAGTATAATGTAATTTAATCAATAAGACGGACAAAATCATTTAGCACTATTGGAATCGGCTTACTGCCACGGAGCAGAGACGTCATGCATTCGTAAATGTTCTACAGTCGGTGGCGCTGTAGGCTGGGTCGCTCTGGTCCCTACGAAATAGATTATCGGACCGATTGCTGGCCCTCACGTCATGCTCGTGATAGGGGCCTTCTGCTGGGGCAGGTCGGCTCGATCATCGCGCGAGTGGGCTGATCCAGTAGGGTTAATGTAAATGTAATAAAACATGTATTGCGTATATATAGATAGTAGACACAAAGTTCTTGTGTAAAAAAATGTGGTTAATATAGCACGTAAGATTTTTGTAGCAATTAATTTTGACTACAAAAAAAAGAAAATGTAATTGAATGACAAAAGCACGGACTGGAGTCCGTGGAGAATAAGAAATCTAATATGTATATAAAAAAAAACATTACTCTACGACCAATAGCAGCCAAGCAGACCCGGTAAAACCACATGGAAGTAACAAGTCTAATGTCGGAATACTGAAACGTTACTCAATTTTAAGTCGTGCTTAAGTATAGTTCTGTCACCACTAATTCTTTGTGAAATGACAGAGATAGCACGATATTTAAGCACGACTTAAAATTGAGTAACGTTTCAGTATTCCAGCATAATATATATATAATGGTATTCATGGTCTACTCACCCCAGAAAGACATAAATATTGCAAAGAAGACGGTAGCAGGGTTGTCGAAGAGATACGTCAGGTTGGCGAAGAGACAGGAATCGGATAACTTCAGGTATTTGCAGGCCTTATCACAGAGAGGACAGAGGGTCGCGTTGCCTGGCCCGTTGGTGTCACAAATCTCTTTGCTGTGAACAGGGAGTGAACGTGAGTTCGGAAGAAAACGTTTATCCAGCACCAGGCACGATAGTTGTGGGTTTCGTCATCATTGTCATATCTTTTTTAATTGGGATAAACCCACACATACAACCACAACCTCCCAAAAACCTCTGCAATTCCTATAAGACAGGATTTTCAGTGAATATAACCATGAAAGCACTGGAACACTGAAGTCCGGCGCGTCCCATGGACATGAATAACTGTCTTGGATCCCACAACGAAGTTCATCCGAAGATATTATAAGAGGACAATAAAATATATATTATCTTATTCAAAGTGCAATGTAACCTTACCTAGGAATATTGTCTGCAGAATTCATGCTACTCAAGCCATATATGAAGCAAATGGTCCCAACTGCAGCTGCGGGAACCAGCATCCTTGTATAGAACCCCAACCAGCAGAAGTAGACTCCGATCTTATCACCGAAATACCTTCGGACCAGCCAGAGAGGTTGCTGTTTATACCATTTCCGGAGACGAGCCCATTCTAGATATAATAGCTGAAAATAGTAAGAATGCCATGGAATCATCAATCATCAGTGGTGGTTTTCAAAGGGGAGAAAGTCCTCAAATTACTTCGCCCTGGGTTGAAAGGGAGTTCTTTTTTAAATATTGCCCCACACTAGGATTTTCTGCTGTGTTCACAATGACACCCAGACCCGAAGAAACAATTTGTGGATAACACAAAGAGTTGCCGTTCGGGAATCGAACCCGCGACACGTTACACGGTAGCCGGTTGCCCAGTCACTACATCAACCATGCAGTCAAAACTGGAGTGTCAGACTGTTTCTGACCAAAAATCACCCTGTTCCTACTTCTGCTTCAAGTCAGAGCCCCGACAACCCGTTATGTCTTCCGTGCTTTGGGAATGGGCAGCAGTCCTACTTGGCCTCATACATATGTAGTGTTTTGACGGATCTTTGAAGCGCGTGCAGATCGCAACGAGCCGTACGTTCGGGTCTGGTTCTGGACGTGCGGCGAGCTATCCTTGCTTGCCGTCTACAGACTTGTGCTTACGGTAGCCGGAGACCGGTGCGCGATCCTCGACATCCCAAGCGTCTCCTGTGGCGGCTGGGGCGTGAAGATGTTCGTTGGCTCATGCGCTCCGTTTCCTCCTTAGTATTTTTTTTTATACTTTATAGGTCGACGTTTGACCACCATCTCGCCTGATGGTAAACGATGACGTGGCCGACGATGGAGCACGCCTACCTAAGAGCAACCTGTTCTCTCGGGACTTGAAGACACCCAAGTCATATTTTTCAAGAAACACAGATTCTGGCAAGGAATTCCATTCGTTTGCGGTTCGCATAAAGAAGCTTGATGCAAAACGCTTCGTACGAATGAGTGGAATGTTAAGGGTGACGCTCAGCCGTTCGTCTTTTGCTTTGGATAGTATTATGACTTCTTCCCAGTAGTAGGAGGCAGGTTTCCAAGTTCCCCTCGCTCCGCACCATGGCCTGAACTAGATGCGGACGAAATCATCATCTGGGTGAGAGCCTCCAGAGAGATATCCAACTACCGCTTATTGCTGCTCTGAGGACGCGGTTGTGCTGAGTCCAAGTATACTTTTTTTAAGGGGGGAAAATCATCGAATGACTGCTCCCGCCTGGGTGAGGCGGGAGGGAGTGTCAGACTCTTACTGACTGAAAACCACCCCGTTCCTTCTCCTGCACGACGAGCCGGAGCCGCGGTTACCCGTTAGGTTCTCCGCGACTCCGAATCGGCATCGGCCCTGTTGGGCCCCATCTGTGGTGGTCTGATGGCTCTTTGAGGCGCGCGCGGAACGCGACGCGCCGTACGTTCGGGTCTGTTTCTGGTCGGACGGGGAGCCACCCATGCTCGTCGTCCGCAAGCCCGCGCTTACGGTGGCCGGAAATTGTCCCGCGATCCCCGACGCCCGGTGTGTCCTTCGCGATGGCTGGGTTGCAAGGAGGCAGCGCTTTGCTGCCTCATGCGTCCCGCCTCCTCCTTAGTAATATAGGTACTTACCCTTCTATCAGTAATGGTCCCATCAGACATGTCCTTTTGATACCTTCCTTCATGCAGAGGGAAGCACGCTTTGTAAGTTCTGTCGCTTAGTAGACGTTCGATACCCATCTGTAGCGATAGAAGACAAATAAGGGCCGATTTTTGCAACGCCAGATAAATTTGAACTGAGGAATAACTTTGAATATTTGACAATTCTTCCATACTAACAACTGTCAACTTAAATTTTAATTATACAGTTAAGAATTAACTGATGATCGAAAACACCGTCCTAAGAATAGTATAGGATTCTATATTCGACTGGCTATTCTATATTCGCAATTTTGTATACACACTGAAAGCACCGCTTCCTATTTCCATACGAATTTTGTTGTTTTTATGGAATAGCAGGCAACGAGCAGATAGATTACCTGATGGTAAGCGATCAGCGTCGCCCATGGACACCTGAAACACCAGAGGTGTTACAAATGCGTTATCGGCCTTTCGGGGATTAGGAATTTGAGGATTATTGGGGATTCGAGGATTCGGGAGATTTTTATGGAATAGGAGGCAAATGAGCAGACGGATCACCTGATGGTAAGCGATCAGCGTCGCCCATGGACACCTAAGGAGACACAAGTGCGTTGCCAGCCTTATATAAAGGAATACGCTCTTTACTTGAAGGTTTAAAGGTCATATAACTATCGTGAGACATACTAAATTAACTAAAAATCGCGGGTTACTCACGTGAATATACTGAGAAAAGTTGTATCTACTAGTTTCGAACTACGTCGCCGCGACCGCGCACGCTACTCATGAGGAAGAAGCCCTCTGTGGTTCGAAACTAGTAGAGCTTTTCTCAGTATATTGACGTGAGTAACCCGAGATTTTTAGTTAAGATTTGAAGGGCGTTGCATATTTTAGTGCAACATTGTTTTTTTTATCAAGAGTTACGTTATGAACATTGGATTACTTAAAACCAGTTTAAATGATATCGCTTTGTATAATCTTTCTTCAAAGTGAACGGTCAGTTTATATTGGTTACTATAGCTTGATGCATGGAGCTATAAAAACCAGTTTTTCCTGGTCCCGCTTTATATGACCGTTCTGTACATTCAACGATCAGTTTATACTGGTTAATCATAGCTTCATACATGGAGCCTATAAAAAACCAGTTCATCCTAAGTTATTAAGTGGTGAGCGCCATGCTTCGACATGAATGGGCCGGCTCGACCGGAGTGATACCACGGCCTCACAGAAAACCAACGTGAAACAACGTTGTGTTGTGTTTCGTCGTGTGAGTGAGGTTACAATCCATAAAAATAGTACTTCTATACACGACAAATACGACCGATACGACAAATACGACCAACACGACCGATACGACAAACACGACCTTCACGACAGATAAGACAAATACGACCGACACTTTACCATCAGGTGATCCGACTGCTCTTTTCCCCAATCCCTGAATCGCCAACAATCCTCAAATTCCTAATCCAGAAGGCCGGTAACGCACTTGTAACGCCTCTGGTGTTCCAGGTGTCCATGGATGACGCCGAATGCTTACCATCAGGTGATCCATCTGCTCGTTTACCGAATTGACCGTTCCGTACGTTTAAGGATCAATTTATACTGTTTACCATAGCGTACATACATGGAGCTAGACAAAACCAGTTCATCCTGGCCGTGCTTTGTATGACCGTTCCGTACATGGAAGGATCAATTTATACTGGTTATCATAGCTTTATATACGGAGCTAGAAAAACCAGTACATCTTGACCGAGCTTTGTATGACCGTTCCGTACATTCAACGGCCAGCTTATACTGGTTTTTATAGCTTCATACATGGAGCTAGAAAAACCAGTACATCTTGACCGAGCTTTGTATGACCGTACCGTACATTCAACGGCCAGCTTATACTGGTATTTATAGCTTCATACATGGAGCTAGTCAAAACCAGTACATCCTGGCCGTGCTTTGTATGACCGTTCGGTACATTAAAAGATCAGCTTATACTGGTATTTATAGCTTCATACATGGAGCTAGACAAAACCAGTTCATCCTGGCCGTGCTATGTATGACCGTTCCATACATTAAAAGATCATCTTATACTGGTATTTATAGCTTCATACATGGAGCTAGACAAAACCAGTACATCCTGGCCGTGCTTTGTATGACCGTTCCGTACATTAAAAGATCAGCTTATACTGGTTATCATAGCTATAGAAAACCAGTTTATCTTGGCCGCGCTTTGTATGACCATTCAGTACACTCGACGGTCAGCTTATACTGGATTGCATAGCTTGGTCTTGTGGGTACAAAATACTTGTTTTGTCAGTTTTTCTATGAAGTTTTAAAGCTTTTTCTTTACCTTTGAGTCGTTGTTGTCATATTTAGCTCTCACTAGTATCTGCATGACTAGCAGACTCCTCTGAGCTGATGAGAAGTCTCTGTGTCGGTCTTTTACTAGGAATCTGTCAGGATAAAATAAAGAAAGAAAACACATAAGATATCACGCCTTTTATCCCCGAAGGGGTAGACAGAGGTGCACTGCACACCCACTTTTCACTATTCAAGTATTCATGTTATGAGTCCCATGTAATAGGGGGTGAGCCTATTGCCATATACCAATTTTAGACTCCGTGCTACTACTGAGAATTTTTAAAAAACCCAGTAATACTTTGCCCCACTCAGGCATCGAACCCGACACCTATTGTTCGGCAGTCACACTTGCGGCCACTCGTCCGGTGTTACATTGTTCAGTACATGCACTACTAACTGCCGTAATGTGCACCTCTGGCCTCTGGCCACCCCTTCGGAGATAATAGGCGGTATATGTCAAGTTTTTTTTTTATTTAACAGGCTTTGTACATACAATGGCAGGCTTAATGCCGGATAGTATACTCATATAATGTTACTTAAAAAAAAAATATCGCGCCACAACCATGACCTGAAACTCCAGCCAGCAGAATAATGCGCATTTATCCTTATCCTTACTAATATTATAAATCGGAAAGTGAGTTTGTTTGTTTGTTCCGCTTTCACGCCGTAACTACTAAACCGATTGCTTTGAATTTTTGCAGTCGTAAAGTTAGAAGTCTGGATTAAATAATATGGTACTTTTTATTCCGGAAAAATTTGATATTCTCGAGGAAAAACGAAATCATTGGTATGGATGGCGCTGTGTGTATATGTCACATAGGCTACTTTTTATCCTTTTGTGACGCGAGCGAAGCCGCGGGTAAAAGCTAGTTTCATATAAAACTAACTAGGCATGTAAAAAAAAATCAGAACAATAACCTGGGTAGAATAACGAATAGGAAAGTCCACAACATAACATGAAGCCAAAATTTCATGATAAAAAAGATAATGACCGTCTTGGCCGCCCTCTAGCGGCCCCATTCATATCCGCTCTGTATACTTCTTTCGTTACTCTACTTTCATCCATCCTTTCTACATGTCCAAACCAGCGTAACATTCCCTTTTCAATCCTTGTCACTACATCATCTTTCAATCCACACCTTTCTCTAATAACACTATTTTTCACTCGATCACTCAATTTTAGTCCACACATACTTCTTAGGGCTCTCATTTCCACCGCATTAATCCTGGCTGGCTTTCGATTTATTTATTTCAACTTTATACAACAAGTGTGTACAGGTGGACTTAATGCCTTGGGCATTGTCTCCCAGTCAACCTTTAAGCAGTGCAGAGATGAAAGTAGCAGGTGATTTAAACCTTTATAAATAGGCAATGTACCAGTGTAATAAATAACAAATCTCACAATCAGAATATTCAATAAACACTAAACATATAGGTATATTTGAAAACTTATACATACTTACATATAACAATAATTATGTATACAATATTAAAGTAAATATATAAATAAAAAATAATGAAGATATATATAGAAATATATATGTACATTATAAAATATAATACAAAATATTAAATTAAAAGAGGTTTAGGTTTGAGATGAATCTATCAATTGTTGAAGAAGATGCTCCCGAACTTTAATCTTAAAAGCTAAGCGACTGGACGCCGTCCTGATATCCGTGGGTAGTGCATTCCACAGAATAACAGATTGTATGAAGAAAGAAGAATGAAGGAAATCAGTGCGATGACTGACACACTGTAGATGGCGATTGTTGGAAGAACGAAGATATTTACTGTGGTTTGCACTGGTGTATTGAAAATAGGTGGATAGATAGTTAGGAGAAAAAGGGGATTCAAGAAGAGAGAATAAAGTAGTTAAAGCCCTTTGCTCCCTACGTTGGCGTATGGGTAACCACTTTAATTGCAAGCGCTGTGCAGAAACATGATCATATTTACGAAGATTGAACACGAATCGAATGCAGTTATTCAGAAGTCTGTCTAGTTTGTTGAGGAGATCTGCATTCAGGTCGTAATAACAGACATCACCATAATCAATAATAGGGAAAATTAACGACTGGACGAGCGTTGCCTTCACGAAGGATGGAAGAAAGTTTTTGAGGCGATACAGAGCCCGCAACGACCCAGTAACCCTCTTACAGACACTGGTAACCTGCGGGCTAAAAGCAGGATTAATGCGGCATTTTCACCGCATTAATCCTGCTTTCATGCTTCTTCTGCCACACCCATGATTCACTACCATACATAAGCGTTGGTGACATATAGTGACCAGATTGGCGATATATTAAAGAAGGGCCAAATTATACAGGATTTATTTATTTATTTATGGCAATAGGCCCACCCCCTATTACATGGGACTCATGACATAAATTGTAAAAAGTGGGTGCCGTAAAGTGCAAAGAGGTGCACATTACGGCACTTAATGCCAGTGTACAATGTAACAGCCCTGCCTACCCCTTCTGGGATAAAAGGCGTGATGTTATGTTATTGTTATTATGCAATCTAACTACTGTTAGACGACGAAAATCAACTAAATGAACGTCACCAGTTTAATCAATGTTATTGACAGCACTAGCTGTCATATTGACGATGTCATCTGTCAAATGGGACAGATTACAAAAAGTTTCCCCGTCCCGCGCAAAGTGGAGTGAAGCGCGAATCTGGTGGGAAGTTTGAAGAGCATTGCGCTGTGTTCTTAAAAGAATCCGTTTGAACTTTTCAGTATTTAAGTATTGAGTTTTACTTAAAACTACTAGAAAGAAAAGATAGAACTACTACGAAGAATGCTTTACTTACATTTCGTCCCGTCTCCTCGAGCGCTGCTCAGCCCCATAGAAAGACGGTTCCGGCACTACTGAATAATATTCGAACTCATATAATTTTCTCAATCGGAGGTAGAGTTTTAAATACCAGGTCTTGTTCTTCTCGTCTTCTTCAATCTGAAGGAATAATAATAATAATGATACTATCGCCCAATGCGTTAGTCCCTAAATGCCTCGACTACCACCTTAGGAGGCTGGCATTAGGCAGTTGGGTCAAGGGCTTGATACAGAATGCAGTTCTCCTTGAAACGGCGCGCATCGTGAAGAGGTTTCCGTCTCTGGAGCTCTAACCACTGGTAGCTTAGACCATGCTCCTACTACTGGTCGGCTCCTATTTTTATATTTTTAAACATTTTTATTTATAAGGTCTATTTAAAAATGTTTAATTATAATATATGGAAATAATAATCATTGGCCATTTGTAGTGGAGTTCCGAGAGTAGTGATCCTGCTCGGAGAGTAAGAAACTATACGTAAGTCACGAGTGGGCCAGGGATACTACGGTTGGAGCTGGAGATCTCAGTATAAAGCGGTGGTAGTTTCTTCACCCTTCAACCACTCACATTTCCGTTGTCCCTCTGTTGCTGTATCTAGCAACCATTCCCGGTTGCCCGGCCGATGAGATGGCGAGTCTCCGCTTGCCATTTTTAAGTGTTATAATTACATTGTTTCGGCAAGTGCCATAGTCATTCATAGTTCCCAATTTACCAGTCCACAGCAACCCATCCATAGCCCTATCTTTTTCTTTCCATTATACACAATAGTTCTACACTAACCGGGGCCTGCCCTTGGGTGCATTTCTATAGTACATACAGGTATAGTCCCCGGTTTGTGTCCCATTGCATTTAGATCAAAGTTGTATAAAGGTAAAGGGCCTCTGCGCAGTTGGCTTCGGCCCCTCGTACACCTCTCAAATGACCGGGACCCTGTGGTCCCGTGAGTGGTAAATATATACATAATAATATTAGTCATCATCATTATATCAGCTACAAGACGTCTAGTGCTGAATATAGGCTTTCCCCAAAGACTTCCAGATAGGCTGATAACAATAATGAGTATATAGAAGAAGAGCCATTCAGATGTGGACCTGCGACGTGAGTAGACTGCGCAACGTTGTCGCGTTTACGCATCTGCTCATAAGGAACAGTCCCTATGTGACTCGAAACCAGTAGAGCTTTTGTCAATGTTATTACCTGATAAACCGTTATGTTTATTAAATTTGATGTCTCGCGATAGATATTTTACAAAATATTGAAACTCATTTGAAGGACGGTTCCTTCGCCAAATTGTAAATCAACTATTGGTCCCACCCGAGAAGAACCTCAAATATCAACAGTCAAGCCAATTTTAAAGCAGAATACCTTTTCCGAAGCTTCAATGGGTAAGGTTATGAACCGTTTCGTAGGCAGCTTCATACCGATCAGCTCTGCCACCCTCAACGCTATCAGCCGAGGTATATGGATCTTAAGGAACCATGTCTTATGGTCCCACGAATAACATTTGTCTTCTAATTCTAATTCTAGACCTTCCTTCGTCAAGTTTTCCTGTAAAAATACGTTAAATTAGTAAATAAAATGAAATACCTAAATTGTTGTCGATGTTTGCTGTGGAATATACAGGGTTTCCCTGAAGTCAACATTCAAATGGCAAAGGTTTCGGCGATGTTCCAACAGTTATCAGAAGAATATTAAAAATCTAAGTCATATAGTTTTTAAATTATGAGCCAAATGCGTTAGTTTGGATAATAATGTAACTTTTTGCCGAACCAAATATACTCAATAAATTTTTCACCTTCCTTTAAATGACTGTACTGAAAAATACTGCAATATTAGAGGAAAGTTTCACAAAATTTGGCTCATTAAGGCTCATCAATAAGGATTCTAAAATGGTATTTCACATTATTACTTAAATTAGACACGAAAAATATTTTTCAACAAAACATTTTGAACATTTATTTGGACGTATTACTAAGACGAATAAATTTTATTGAATAGTGTACCCAAAACGAAGGTGCATTTTGAAAAACACCGTATCCACTAGGTAACACTTTGCACACGAACAGCCTATAGATACCCACTGCTAAGCAAAGCCTCTTCTTACACGGAGAAGATTTAAGCCAAGCTTGCTCAATGTGGGTTAGCGATATAAAACTAATAATAATTAGCCCAGGTTTCCTTCACCGTTTGTCAGTGGTGTCTAAATAATCTTAGAAAGTACATATAACTCGGAAAAGTCACATTGGTACTTGGCGCTGATAGGTTTCGCACCCTCATGTATGAGAAGCAGGTCTTAAACATCCGGGCCATCATGACATGTTATCATCATATTGCTATCTATGGGAATCGGCGTAGCATAATTAAACTTACGTGGAAAGTTTTCCTATATGCTCTCTTTCTCACTTCACTCTCTGATACTGCTGCTGGATCTTCTTCATATGCTAATACAATGTCTATTTTCCTTTTCCCGTCGCGAAAATATAGAGATTCTGGATCTAGACCCTGAGCATTACAAGAACTGGTTACTGCAACAATACTTTTTAGACTGCCTCGTTGGCCGAGTGGTCGCAATTGCGACTGCCACGCAAGATGTCAATCAAAGTATTACTGGGTTTTTAAGATAATTCTCAGTAGTAGCACTGAGTCCGGAAATTGTCCGGTATATGGCAATAGGCTCACCCTCTATTACATGGAACTCATAATATAAAATTAGTATTAAGTGGGTGTTACATTGCACCGTGGCGTTAAGTGCCGTAATGTGCACCTCTGCCCACTCCTACGGGAATTAAAGGTGCGATGTTAGGCTACTTTTTGGTATTATTATTATTATCCAATGGCTCCTCCCGCCCTGGGTGAGGCGAGAGGAAGTATCAGAATCTTACTGACTAAACACCACCACGTTCAGCTACTCCAGGGCCTTTAGTCAAACGTCATTATAGCGGTTGTCTACAGAGGGAGTAGAAAACTAAATGTATGGTGGATGACACTGACAAGTGTCAAAATTTACGTCATTTTTTACGGTAACTTTTGTGGTTCTCTACAGCACCGGCGGGACTGCACAACTAATGTACAATGGGGATGACTGTATTTTTGCTCATTAGATGGCGCTAATGAGCCCCTCTCGTTTTTCTTCCAATTGGGTATTTGAAAATTCGTCAAATTCAATACTTTTTTCGAACTGTCAAAAACTACAGTTTTCTATGAATTTTGTACGAGTTTGTGTATTGTGACGTCACGTTTTTTAAATTTGCCGGAAAAATACTAAATTTAAGTTGGTCATAAAATCAATTAATAAAAGTGTGATAATTTTTTAATATTTTATTGTATTCAACAGTCGAAATAATTTATTTTTTAATAAGGAAAGTATTTACCCAATTAAATAAGGAACTAGCTTTTAACATTTGACAGATGCAGTGACTAGACGAACATACTTCCTTAAATTATATTATCATCTGAATCGTCTAATGACCAAAAAATCGAAACCCCCATATCAATATACAATATCCGTTATAATAATTATATTTTGTTTGTGCTTACCTCTATATTTTGTTCTCCGACACAATCGTCCTTTGGTGATCTCTTTTTACCAATTTTTCTTGGCTTGAACATTCTTCTGTTTCGTTTGAACTGAAAGAAAAACATGGTGTTTAAACAGACAAATAGATTTTTTATTGGATAAGCCGATAAACAGGCAGTCGGATCACCTGATTGTAAGCAATCGGCGTCGCCTGGAACAACAGAGGCGTTACAAGTGCGTTACCGACATTAGGGGAATTAGGAGTTGGAGGATTGTTGGGGATTCTTCTCCCGCCTGGGTGAAGTGGGAAGGAGTGCGCGACTTTTACTGACTAAAAACCACCCCGTTCCTACTCCTGCACTTCGAGCCGGAGCCTCGGTAACCCGTTAAGTTCTCCGGGTTCCGTATCGACATCAGCCCTATGGGCCCCATCTGTGGTGATCTGATGGCTCTTTGGTGAGGTGAGGTGAGGTGAAGGTGAGGAAAAACAATTGGCTGTTGGAAGTTTACCAGATCAGTTAGTAATGAATAATATGTGTGACTTATAGCATACTATTAGAAAGGATATTAACTAAAAAATAAACTTTTTAAAATGAAACTACGATCAAAACTATGGTAAAGGGAAGGTGACCGAGATGACCTCCCAAATCCCTGGAACTAATATGGGCCAAAGGGCCAAAATAAAAATACACTTATGAAACAAGACGACATGTATAAAAAGACTGAAGATGGTTGATGAAGCGAAAGAAGTATGTAAGAATGACGTTCCACAGTCTCTGCCTACCCCAATAGGAGACAGGGATGCATTTCTGATGATGATACCATCATTTTTAGTTAATTATGCTTTATTTTTCGCTAAAATGTCGTGGCAATTCCTTCTGGGTACTTTCCCAGCTGCAGACAATCAACTGGATTGGTTCATCGATGCGAATGAATTTTTTGACGCTCTTTGTAAATAGTTTATTTTTAGTTTTCTTTAAATTCTTTGTAATTACTTTTAAATTTTCTCAAATCAAATCAAATATATTTATTGCTGAACACAGTACATTTATATGCATTTCAAGATGTTAGATAAATGCGCAGTCCATCATGTTCCACCAATCAAGGCATGCAACATAAATATAAAATCAAATCTACTATCAATATCAACAAAAAGAAGATCAATAATAATACAAAGTAGGTAATTACAATGTCAACAGAGAATTATCATTAATAATGTAAAAGAATTCTTCAATGTTAATTGAATATGAAGAAGCGTCACAACTCTTTGGAAGATATAAAGTCGAACTCTTTGACGAAATCCTTCATAGACACTCTATATCTGACAGCAAATCAAATTGACAAATTTCTGTCACAACCAGAACTTCAAAATAGATAAACAACAATACAATTATCCGTAATTAAAGAAACCAATTATAGATGTGAAAGAATAAAATTGTGGTCACAATAATGCGGCGCAAGAAATCTTAGACGTGGCAAATGACAGATCCATGCTCGACAAAACTACGATTCTTTACTGTAGTTCTGAATACCGGCGACCTTTTTTATGAGGTAAACCAAAAACTAGATGACTATTGTAAAATTACTCATGCCATTCTAACGCCAATTGCAATATTCAGCGTCTATATAACTATGGGAACATTCTACATTGGCGCTATAATGAACTTCCACGCGTCAAAATTCCTGCAGGCCTACTCTTCAGTTACCTGCAGTTTTTTAGAAATCTTTCTTGCTATTAATGCTTTCCAATTACAAGCTGTGCAGTATAATTCGTCAATGTTAATTTTGGGTTTTTTGCCTCTTAGTATTGCGATTTTATGTGTCGTCGATTTTATAATAGTGCTTTCGACTCATGTGTTGTCGATTGAACCGCCGATGGCTCAAACAGAAGCCGCTACCTTCGAGTTAACTAATTTAAATCGAAAACCGGTATTGAATCCATTGTGACGTTTCTTTGTGTTTATTGTAATATATTTTTTCTTGTTGGTTTGTTATTTTATTTTTTGATTTTTTTTATTCACTACAAGTAAGAAAAAAAATATGTTAGACGGTTTTAATGATCTGTATTCTGCCAATTTCTTCTTATACCACGACGGGGACAAAATAGCAAGAAAATAGAAAGGAAGTGAAATTCCAATTACTAAAATTTTATAATAATTTCGGTCATATTTCGTACAAAAATTTAAGAATCATCAACATTCGGAGCCTGTGACAACCTTTATATTTGCTGGGCCGACGTTTGACCACCATCTCGCATGGGGGTAAGCTATGATGTGGTCTACGATGGAGCACGTCGTCCCATAAGCACCCTATTCACTCGAGCCTGGCTGCACTCAGTTTCAAAATCAGTAGACACCAGAAATCACCGCTGGCCTGTCTTTGTTAAATGTGTGGTCTCTATTTAGCTCTTATGACACGCACTCGCGGGCAAACGATAACAAAATATAGTTCTCAATACTCCCCTGTTTTTAACATACTAAAATCTCCTCCTAAGGGGCTGTCTCCACGAGCGAGAGAATCGCGGCGATATTATCGCCGTGTCACGTTTTTGTATACACTCTCTGTGGAACCATCTCCACACGGCGATATTATCGCCGCGATGCGACTAGTGGCAACGAGCGCGCAAAACGTCATTACATCGTCGCTAGCCCACCGCGACTAGCAACGCGCGGCGCTCTCGCGACGAGCGCGCGGCGGGCGCGCTGTCAAACGCAGCATCATTTCAGCTTTGCCTCAAGTGTGACGTCAAGGAAACGCGGCGATACCGTAACGACTCGCGGCGATACGCGGCGGATTTTTTTTTTTAACGTTGCCCCACATTAGTATTTTCTCCTGTGTCGTGGGTGCGTTTACAAACATACAAGTTCACATACACAATGACATCCAGACCCGAAACAACAATTTGTGGATCACACAAAGTGTTGTTCCGTGCGGGAATCGAACCCGCGACACGTTGCACGGCAGCCGGTTGCCCAGCCACCGCACCAACCGTGCAGTCACTCGTTCGTTCGCTTATCGCTCGTTCGTGGAGATTAGCCGACGATATAAGCCGGACTCGTCGCGATTCTCTCGCTTGGGTTTTTTTTAGGGTCTTCTCCCACCTGGGTGAAGCGAAAGAGAGTGTCAGACTCTTACTGACTAAAAACCACCCCGTTCCTTCTCCTGCACGTCGAGCCAGAGCCCCGGTAACCCGTTAGGTTCTCCGCGACTATACATTTGGCTTTAGGCTTATTTATTGTGTCTCCTGCAGTAATTCGCTGAGGAAAGTGGTAACATAGTTTTTTCTTCTCCTCTTATAATAATTTATCATATGATTTATTTCGTTGCGGGAACCAAGACAGTTACTCATGTCCCTGGGACACGCCGGACTTCAGTGTTCCGGTGTTTTCATGGTTGTATCTACTGTAGATCTTGGCTTGCAGGAGTTGCAGCGGTTTTGGGAGGTTGTTAGTACATGCACTACAAACTACAACCTCCGTCCAACCAACCAGCTTGGTCATAATAGCACCTCTTTCTTTTTTGAAGCCAAATTATGATATTTTGTAACAAATGTATGATAAATTAATGTAAGTATGGGAGAGCTATGCATTGGGACAAATCGACTGGAGTGATACATCCTCGAAAAAAACCAACCCTGTGACTCCTGACATCTTCAAATCCTCAAATCGCTAACCGCAACAAGCCGGCAACGAGTTTGTACTTCCTCTGGTGTTCCAGGTTTTCATGTGCAACGCCGATTGCTTACCATCAGGTGATCCGTCTGCTTGCTTGATGCCCCATCTCATAGAAAGAGATAAATCTAGTTATACTAGTAGGTACACCGTCCATTTTATTTTCACTATCCCTGAGGGAGAAACTTAGCAGAGAGGTCCTTACCTTATCAGCAGGGCTCTTCGTAGTATCGACAGCTGTCTGCAATGGTGCATTCAGGGGTGTTGGGGGTATTGGGGGCACTGCGGATATCGGTGTGGTTGGTGAAGCAGGCTCTTGACTCGTGTCTGGCTTTGGACTTCTAGAACGGGTCAGAGTATCGGAAACTCTTTTCCATGGTGTTTTCTGGGGCTTTGGGGGTATGGGAGGCATTGGGGGTATTGGGGGCACTGCGGATATCGGCGTAGTTGGTGAAACAGGCTTTTGACTCGTGTCTGGCTTTGGACTTCTAGAACGAGTTAGAGTATCGGAAACTCTTTTCCATGGTGTTTTCTGGGGCTTTGGGGGTATGGGAGGCATTGGGGGTATCGGTGTGGTGGGTGGAACTGGTTCATGACTCGTGTCCAGCCTTGGACTTTTAGGACGGGTTAGCGTATCAACAATTCTCTCCCATGGGGTTTTCTGGGGCATTGGGGGTATGTGGGACATTGGGGGTATCGGTGTGCTGGGTATCACAGGCTTTTGACTCGTATCTGGCTTTGGACTTTTAGGACGGGTTAGAGTATCGATAACTCTGTTCCATGGTCCTTTCTCGGGCACTGCGGGTATTGGGGGCACTGCAGGTATGGGCGTGGTGGGTAAAGCGGGCTTTGGACTTTTAGGGCGGGTTTTCATGGTCTGGAAACGAAATGGCGCTGTGTTAAAAGACCTTGCCGTAGCTAGTAGCTCTGTAGCTACTAAGACAGTACTTTAATTTTTAATTGCTTAAATACTGAAACATTTTTACCAACCAACTTGAAACCATCTCTTTCTAACGCTACGGACTTACGACGCGAGCAGTTGTATGCGGTCCCACAGCCTCTGCGGTTGCGATTATCGCCCGTAAACTTGGCAGTTGATTATCGCAAGACGGGCGGTTAAATAGGTACGTTTCAGATCGGCCCTCCCATAGCGATCGCCCGCCAATCGATCGCAGAGTATGCAGGTGCAACCCAACGCAGTTGTGGGCTCGCGACCGCGGCCGCGAGTACAGCGGGAGCCGCAAACAATCGCAACCGCCGCGGCCGTAAAACGCGTCGTGAAATGTGATTTCATTTGTTACGTACATACATATGTGATATTCTACATAGGCTGCGAGCGCGGTAGAAAATCGCTTCGTGAGTCCTTAGCCTGAGAGCTACTTTGTGTGATGGGAGCACCTAACCCAACCCTTACCTCACTTGTATCACTTACTAGCTTTTACCCGCGGCTTCGCTCGCGTCACAAAAGGATAAAAAGCTAATGTGACATATACCAATACACACAGCGCCATCTATATCAATACTTTTGTTTTCCCTCGGGAATATCAAAGTTTTCCGGGATAAAAAGTACCCTATTATTTAATCCGGACTTCTAACTATACATCTGCAAAAATTCAAAGCAATCAGTTTAGTAGTTACGGCGTGAAAGCGGAACAAACAACCAAACAGGTTGGTCAAAGTCAAAGTCAGAATCATTAGACCAGGAAGGCACTTTTGAACGTCAACAACAAAAACATTTAGAAGTGAAGCTAGTTGCTCATTTCAATGTGTAGATTCTTTTGGAGAAGAACGAGCAAGAAACTCCATAGGTTACTCTTTTTCAATCGGGTTTACAATACAATTCTCTAGTTACATAGTTTGTGAAAACCAAAAATGACGTCATATATCTTAGTTTAGGGGTTCCTTAAAATTTAAGGGTGATTTGTGATAATGTGCAATTCAGATGTCCTTACCTTATCAGTAGGGCTCTTTATAACATGGGCAGCCTTCTTGAATGATACTTTTTGGGGCATTGTAGCAGGTATCGACGTAGTCCTTAAAGCTGGCTTTGGACTTTTACGACGGGTTTTCGTGGTCTACAACGAAATGGTACTGTGATTATTGGATTTGACAAAAGTTTAGTGCACCTTTATCTTAAAACTAGCTGTGGCCGCGACTTATCGTGTGGAATAGTGATTCACAACTCCTCCCCCATAGGTGATAGCGTAATAATATGTAGCCTATATGTTAACATGATCTTTTAGTGATATTCATGCACAATTTTTGAGTACTTAAATCCATACAGTACTTTTTGAGTTTAGCCCGGACATGCAGTGAGATAAATAGACAAACAGAAAATAATTATGAAATCAATATTTTTGGCTGCGATATCGATTGTAGATCACGCCCCGAGCAAAAATATTTAATATAGTTTTCACTTTCCTATGATTTTATTATATGTATATGTCGGTAATATCAGGAAACAGCTTTGGGACGCCAGCGCCATCTAGTGGCGTTCGATGGAGTTAGTGTTGGAATGCACCGGGGTGGGGATTGCCAGTGGACCGGGGCAGCGGCCGCTAGCGGAGCACTTGCTGGTTAGAGTTCACCCCGTGCAGACGACACTGAAACTATCGCGCGTTCCATCTGCTGTGTAATTTCTATTTGATTGTGATTGAATATTAAAACGATTGCAAAAGTGAAGCCTTGTGTAATTCTCGTGTTAACACTATCCACGGAGGCCCACAATGAGCGATACCGAACCACTTCCCCCGTCATATATACGCCCAAACAGATGTTTTAGAAATCTCATTTCAACATTTTTCAAAGTTGTTACTCATAACACAACTGCTATAGAATCTCAAGATTTCATTTTAGCCCTCGCTACTTCCACACAGTTGCACCAGCTGCTCATCTTCTATTGTTTGCAGGGTCATCAATAGAATACACAAAAATAATTATTCACTTCCAATCAGCTAGGGCAAAGAAAAAAAGGAAACCGATCGCGATCCGCCATGTCATTGCTTGGGGGAATAATCTCGACTAAAGACGCACGAGAATGCAATCTAGCTCACTTCAAAAATTAACATTTACAGAGTAATCCAGCAATAGTTCTGGCGATTAGCGCGTCCAAAAAACTCTTTATCTATATATTACATATAGATGAAGGGTCTTTTATGGCATAAGCCGGTAAACGTGCAGACGGATCACCTGATGGAAAGCAATCGGCGTCACCCATGGACATCTGGAACACCAGAGTCGTTACAAGTGCGATACCGGCCATTTGGGGATTAAGAGTTTGAGGATCGTTGGGGATTCAGGAATTGGGGAAGGGGAGGGTAATTGGGCCTCCGAAAACCTCACTCACACGACGAAACACAACGCAAGCGTTGCTTCAAGTCGGTTTTCCGTGAGGCCGTGGTATCACTCCGGTCGAGCCGAAGCATGACTCTCCCACACCTGAGTTACCGTAAGTGTATAATTACGAATTACTACGGGCTGGTGCTGAAACTGGAGCTCTCGTACCCGGGCCACGATATTGAGCTGAGCTCCGGCGTTTTGCGCTGCGACGCACCATGGGCTTTTTGTGTGTATTCCCGTTATATGTCGTGGCGTAATAAATTGATTCTCTCTTTTTTTTCAGCTGCATGTCTCCCATGGGTGAGTAATGTAATGTAGTCAAGGCTTTTGTCAAAAGTCCTTACCTCATCTTTAGCATCGGCAGCTGACTTCAATGGCGTGTCCGGCTTTGGACTTTTAGGACGGGTTAGAGAATCGACAACTCTCTTCCATGGGGTCTTCTCGGGCACTGCGGGTATTGGGGGCACTACGGGAACCGGTGTGGTTGGCAAAACAGGTTCTTGACTCGTGTCTGGCTTTGAACTTTTAGGACGGGTAAGACTATCAACAATTCTCTTCCATGGAGCTATCTCGGGTACTGCGGGTATTGGGGGTACCGGCGAGGCTGGTAAAGGAGGCTTTGGACTTTCAGGGCGGATGTTTATGGGCTGCAAACGAAATGCACAGTGGTTATTGGATTTATAAAAAACGTTGCCCCGCACTAGGATTTTCTCCTGTGTCATGGGTGCATTTACAAACATACAAGTTCACATACACAAGGACACCCAGACCCGAAACATCTATTAATTGTGGATCACACAAAAAGTTGTTTGTGCGGGAATTAAACTCGCTACACGTTGTGCGGTAGCCGGTTGCACAGACACCGTGCAGTCGATTGTCGACAGCGAAAGAATCAATTTCACGACACTTTGGTTGTGTCTACTTTATAATTAACTAGTGACCCGCCCCGGCTTCGCACGGGTGCAATATGCATGTATTATACATACAAACCTTCCTTAAGAATCACTCTATCTATTAAAAAAAACCGCATCAAAATCCGTTGCGTAGTTTTAAAGATCTAAGCATACATACGGACATACAGCGAAAGCGACTTTGTTTTATACTATGTATTGATAGGTATTCTTAAATAATGATGATGATATTTTAGGACTGCCTCGTTTGCCGAGTGGTCGCAAGTGCGACTGTCTGGTCTCGGGTTCGATTCCCAGGTCGGGAAAAGTAATACTGGGTTTTTTAAAAAATCTCCGTAGCATTGAGTCCTGAATTGTGCCCGATATATGGCAATAGGCTCACCCCCTATTACTATAAATATTGAAAAGTGGGTGTTACAATGTGCACCTCTGCCTACCCCTTCGGGGATAAAATTAGTCCAGCAGAATTACTGATTTCAATGTACACCCGTGTTCGCACAAGGAAGCTTGAATTTTGGTCCAAGGTACCTTACCTTATCAGTAGGGCTCCATTTAGTATCTGGAATTGACTTCGATGGCGCTTTCTGATGCATGGGCATGTCTAATTTTGGACTTTTAGGGCGGTTTAGAGGACCGACAAATCTCTTCCATTGGACTTTCTCGGAGACTGCTGGTATTGAGGGCACTGGGGGTGGCTTCAAAGCAGGCTTTAGACTTTTATGGCGGGTTTTAGTGGTCTGTAATCGCAATGGCACTACAGTTACTGGATTTGAAAGAACTTCGACCGCATCACCTCCGTTTTTAGGTGATTGAGTAACATACACACTTTTGCATTAAGATTGATATTAGTAAGATTTTATATTTTGTCAAAGTCTTTATGGACCTACACTTTAGTCTAATGTCCTTACCTTATGGCTGTCTATAGTATCGGCAGCTGGCTTCGATGGTGGTATCTGATGCATATGTGTGTCCGGCTTTGGACTTTTACCTCCCTTCCATGGGTCTTTCTGGGACACTGCGGGTATTGGGGGCTCTGCGTGTATTGGGGACGTTGGGTGTATCGGCGTTGCTAAAGCAGGTTCTTTAGTTTTAGGGTGGGTTATCTGAAATTGGAATGGTACGACACTGTGGTTATTGGGCATGACAACATAGCAGTAGTATTAATCCTCCTGAAACATAATTATTGACCTAGTAATTATTTTCTTTTTATTGATTAGGTAGGCAACCGAGCTGACGGATTATGATGGTAAGCGATCAGCGCCGTCCATGGACATGGATTCCACTGACTGATTTACTGTTTCATATTCTAATTCTAAAAAAAGAAAGTATGTAGTAATTCCAATGTACTTAAGGCTTTGGCATAAGAACAAGTTTAGAAAAGAGATCCAGGAAGCGTCATCAGCATTAAAAATAATTCCTAGGGTCCTGGTAGTAACTGAAGACATAATATACTCAACTGTTGACACGGATGCTTCACTGGTGGTAAAAGACGGATCTGATGTTGAGGCAGAGTTTGAAGATTCAGCTGTGGGTATAGTAGCATAACTCAAGACGAAGTCTGTAGACATATCTCCAATTGTAGAAATAGACGCTGCACTTGAAGAAGATGCGTTAGACACATTGTCAACGGTTGGAATAGGTGCTGGATTATGTGCAGGTAATATCAAAGGGTTCTCAGCTCTATTCAACAAAAACACTTTTCGTTTAACTTTTCGTGTAGAACCCAGTTTTCCCAAAGAAGATCTTTTCACTAAACCAGTGAAGGATCTGTAACAGCGTCTGTGGAAGCCACCTTCCAATGAATTGGCTGGTAACAAAACATCTTTATATTTTAGGTTATGTAGCTTTCTATGTTTTAATATCTCTCGACACTTTTTCAAAATCTCATCCGTAAATAATGTTAAACTCTCATCATATTCTTGACAAAACACACATTTTAATGGTTGTGCCATGGTGCAGTGGTTAACATTGGGAATTTTATTATTTTCTATATAAAGAAATACGCATTGTATACCGGCTTGACAGTTGTATTGTCAAGATTGTTGTATTCCCCTATACTTATTATACTCTTTGGTTATATTGTTATTGTATTCCCCTACAGTTATTATATATACTCTTTGGTCAAGATATTGTAGCTAGTTCACATTAGGCTCGACATACAGTAATTTTAACGGGTTTTTGATCGAGTCTTAGTTGTTGCTATTCAAACAGGTAACTGTCAATTCAAAGCGGACCCTCAAACCCCAAATCCTTGGGTGCATTGCCGGCCTAAAACATCTATCGGTAAAAGGTCCGCAACGCATTTGTAAACCTTCTAGTATGGGTGATCCACCAACTTGTTAGGTCATTAAAAAACTACAGTCGTTGCAAACTTTAACTGCACTATCGTTACCTTCGTTTTATCACTGACCTGGTTAAATCAAAGTCAAAGCATTTATTTCAATTAACTCGTCGAGCACCGTATTTATAGACACAATTAAAGAACAATAGGTTGCGGTCACCGGTGACCGCTTGGTATTTGACAGTTTAAACCATAATTTTGTACTTTAGAAACGTCAACAAATACAAAATAAATAATAGTCTGTCAGTCAGTCCGTCAGTGAAGCTAGGTGAAGCTAACTTGAGTTATCAATTGTGAGTAGGTTTTTATAATTATGTAGGTGACGACATTTTAAATATGCTATTTAAGTTTTTGACTGCCTCGTTGCGTTGGCGTCTCCGGGTTCGATTGGGTCGGGCAAAGTATTACTGGGTTTTTGAAAAAATCTTAATAGTTAGTAGCACAGAGTCTGGAATTGTGCCCGGTATACGGTGAAAAGTGGGTGTTACATTGTACAGTGGCATTGAGTGTCGTAATGTGCATCTCTGCCTACCCCTTCAGGAATAAAATGCGATATGTTATGTTTAAAAGTTTATTTAATTCGATATTAAAGGGCTCGTACACAAAACTGCGATGCCACGTTGCATCGCAAAAATATGCGAGCTCCCTTTACGTCTCGCAAGAACTTACGAATTGATTCGCATCGCGCATCAAAATCTTATCTTCCCAAAATCTTCTTTGGTTCTTTTCCCTGTATCTCTTAACAGAAGTGCACACTTCATTTTACGATCCATATCACGATCTAGTTTTCAATTTAAAGAACAATAGGTTGCGGTCACCGGTGTCCTCGCGGTGTTTGACAGTTTAACTCGTCGAGTACCGTCATTATAGACACAATTATAGAACAATAGGTTGCGGTCACCGGTGACCGCTTGGTGTTTGAGTTTAAAATTAAAATACGTTTAGGTACTACGGTTGACGGTCGTCGAAGGAATGGTCACTCTGGGAGACGCCTTGTCGCACGAAATCGCATCGCAGCAATAGGGTAGATGCTCAATTTTTATTTGAATGTCCGTCTGGTAGATTATTTTTAATCATTAGACACGTATTTTTTATTTTCTTACAGAAACGAATACTTTCGACGATATAATGATTTGAAATGTCGCGTGACGTCACTTCTATGTACATTTTATACGTAGTAATGACGTTTTAGCCCCCACTCCTAAACCTTGATTCGTTTTATCTAAGTATTGTTTTATTATACGACAAAATAAAAAAATATGTGACCAATATTTTTTCATTACCTAACTTACGGACTAATTAGATATTTAATTTTCATACCCTGTCATCATCCCAATTCGCATCGTAATTTTCTGTGTTGCGAATTCGCTTCGCATCGCAGTTTTGTGTACGAGCCCGTAAAGGAAGCAAGATTATCGTTTTATCTTACGTTTGGACAGTCGATGAAACGAGTGTGTGTAAAGAACCTTACTGTGTCAACCTGAAGACTAGCGTTGTCAACTTTACTTATTGACTATATTTCCTCCATAGAGAAAAAAGCCTATGATTTCCTTCTGTTTCCCTCTATTAAAATGATTTAGAGATCAGCTGTAATCAGCTGATCTCTCAGATTAGTCCCGTAATCATTTAGGTTGGGTTGAATATAACTTAATTCCCGCAGGACACAAAAATATTTTTTTTAATATATATTTCAGTAATGTAAAAAGGCGCCATCTATTATAGTCATGACAAACTATTTAGTTAACTAAAATTGTCAATAGATGTCGTACCGTGTACAATTAAAAAGTAAACGAAATAAACAATTAAAATATGCTTTTAAATTTCTCTGAATGAGATTTAGAGAAAAAAGGTCAGGAATCAGGATTAAGGTATTTTTTAACATAAAAAATAAAACACCACAAATGATATTATTGGAAACAAATATAATAAAGAAAATTGAGTATTCGACCACAAAAAGATAGTAATTAGTAACCACGGATAGTAACTACTTATAAATTATTCTTATGATAGAGATTCTTCACTTACTGTACCTAAAGTGAAATTAACTAATATCACATTTATTTTGGGACAATAACATTTACAATATCTACCTTTAAAGGATAACATTGACAACTTTACCTATTATATGTTTCGGCTTACTCAAGTAATTATTTGACGAGGAACTCGACTACTTGGGGGTCTTCAAGGTCCGAGTGAATAGGTTGCTTATGAGACGACGCGACGTGGTTCATTGTAGACCGCACCATCGTTTACCACAAGATGAGATAGTGGTTAAACGTCGGCCCAACAAACATAGGAAAATTAAAAAAGGTTCAAGCCATTCTAGAGGCTCAAATTCGTGAGCAGCATTCCGCGACCGGCGACGCGGTGACTGTCGCGCTGCAACTGGCTACTCGAGTCTGAGGTGCGTACCCAGCGCGCCCTCTGCTGTGATTCACGCGCACTTTCTCTTTATCTGTGGTCTCGCGAAACAGTTGGCATGTTAGACTCGTTCGTCGGCGGCTGTGTAAGTGTTGGATTCGAATCCTAGGTTGACGCAGAAACAGTGTTACTTGCCGCGCTCTATACCATGGCTTGAAACTAGTCGAGTTCCTCGTCAAATAATTACGTGAGTAAGCCGAAAAACATAATAATTAATTTAGTATGTCCCACGATACTTGTATAGATATATTGACAACTTTCTTATTTTATTTCACAATGGCTGCAGTTTGTGAATGTTTCGATTTTTTTTCCAAATTAATTGTGTCAAAATATATCTCAGTTATATTCATAATGCCTTAAAAAGCCGTTACATCGCCACATATGGGGCCCACTAGGACCGGGGTTGCAACGGCCCGGGTCGAAGCAGTGCCTTTAGCCAAACGCCACTTTAGCGCTTGTCTACAGAGAGAGTAGAAAACTAAATGTAGGTATGGGGGTTAAATGTTTGACACTTGTCAGTGTCAAAACCGTCAAAAATTTACGTCAATTTGGTATTCTACTCTACATGTAGATAAGCGCTAAATGGCATTTAGCTACAGCTGCAGGAGTAGGAACGGGAATTTCGGTAGGTTCCTGTTTCGGATTGGGCGGGAGGGAACGCCCGGGTGCTGTCACTGCGAGTATTGCCCAGAGGACACGGTGGAGCATACGGTGGCGGTGTGCTCAGACCACGCAGAGCCGTAGCCGTCGCCGATCACATCCTCAGGGATGAGCGACCTCTCGAGTCCGGCTCTGGTTCCAACTCGTGACTCGCCGCCCGACCAGAACCAGACCCAAGCGAACGGCGCGTTGGGTTTGCACGCGCTCCCCAAGGACCACCACAGATGGGGCCCAATAGAGCTGATACCAGTACGGAGCCGCGGAGAACGTATAAGGTTATCGGCTTGAAGTATAGGAGTAGGAACGGGGTGGTTTTTACTCAGTAAGATTCTGACACTCCCTCTCTCCTCACCCGGGCGGGTGAAGTCATTAAAAAAAGATGTCAAATACCACAGCAGTGTTTAAGACTACTTAAAATTGTCTATTTATGACGAAACAATTGTGTTCAGTAGTAACAACCAAACATAATATGTATACTTGGCTTTATCATTTGACACTTTATTAATAGTTAAATATAAGACGAATTTCGGCTGCACATTTTCAGTTAGATAATATTTTTAATTTTAATAGTAATTTAATGTTTAAATAATACGTATAAAACTAAAAATTGATGTAGTTAGTCACAAAATAAATCGTCAAATATAGTTATGGAACCTTTAAACGGCAAGCATTGGTCAGTTAAGTCAGTCGAAGTTTATGCGGAGTTTAGCATACATTCAG